CTGCTTTTCCCTCCCTGCACCTTTACAAAACAGGACCACGTGGAGTTTGTTCAACATCGTCTGATCTGTCTTGGAGTTATGGTGAATGCAGAGCTTGAAGACCCTCTACTTTCATTAAGGCTCCCATTTGGGAACATGACAGTTTCTGCCAAAAAATAAGTTGATCACATGGAAGCTGCATGCCAACACTGATCAACTGCAATCAAGTGTTGGTCGCTGATTTGAAATGGCATCACATTGGTGTTGCAAGGAAAAAGTGAAGTGAGTGCAGTGCATTTTAGCAGCCTCTTGCTAACAGTTCAAACCAGGCCAAAGCCACAACAAACCCCATACGTGCTTGAGCTAAGCTTGCACTTCCTTTTCTTCCTTTGTTGTCATGCAACATTGTGGAAACCTTTGATAGAACAACTCTCAACAGCAACATTCCCAGAATATTAGCTCTACCTTCATCAATGTCTCACTTAACAGGAACATTTTTGTCTTCAGTGTTCTTTTGTTGTCATGTATCATAATCTTGACAACATCCTCCAAGCATCCTCTGGCTGTTCAAGCCGTCCTGTCTTATAGGAACATTCCTCGAAACATTCTTTCAACGTGAAATTAAAGCATTTCCTTGAAGACATTTTTAGAATGTTGCAGGGATACTAGATGACTAGAGGTCAAAAACTTCATAAGGTGCATTTAAGGGAAGCATCAATACTTCAGCTCCGATAGAATCCCGAAAAAAAACGGTGCTAAGAGAAGAAAGTTAGAGTGAGAGAAACACACATTTCTAACTGTAGTACTGTAGAAGTAGGTGAGCGGTGGAGGAGGAGGGTAAAAGGAGGGAGTCGGTCTCACTTGGGTCTCTGCCCTCATTCACTGAAGGCCTTTGATTCTCTGCTTTGATCCTTGACTTTTACACCGGACAGAGTCTCATAAATACAGAAGAAGAAAACAGCAGGTGTGAATGCATAACTTATGGCCTCGGCCTTACCTCAATCATCTTTTCCTGCATTCTTTTTTTTTTCTTTGCACCTCCTTCTGATGCACACTTTCGCTCATCTCCTCCTCCTCCTCCTCCTCCTCCTCCTCCTCACCCCTTTCTCTCTCTGTCTTCCAGCTATCAGCCTGTGACGCAATTCTGTTGCCATGTCGTTGTCATTCGGCATGGCAGAATTAGCTCCCACTCTTTCTCTCTTTCTGTGTGTGTGCGCGCATCGCCGCCGCCGCCGTGCCCATGTGTGTGCTTCTTTTTTTTTTTCACGCGAGCGCATCCATGTGTGGCGCTGTCGCCTCCCCGCCTCCCCCCCGCTTTGAATACGTGATTTGTAGTCGCCGACGACGACGACGACGTGCTTTGCGTGCGTCTAATTTATTTGCATGCCCGGGCTTCTTTCACCGTAAGTCTCTGTCAAGGTTGCCTGACATTGGTGCTCACCTCAGTCTTAGAGAACCGACGAGAGTGCGGCTGCTGAGTCAGGCTCTCTTCAGTGAAGAGACTTCAAAGTGGATTGGGATGGGGGGGGGAGGAAAGACACATAGAGAATGGGTGAGGAGGAAGTGGAGGGGATGGGAAGGAGCAAAACAAGAGGGTGGGCCTCGACTATCAGCCGGTGTTTTGATTTCATCACCTTTTTTTTTTTTTTCCCCCCTCTCTCAGCGAGGGGAGACCGCCCTTCTAGCCTCGCTCGCTAATGAATTACACCCGGCTTCACACCAGGTAGCAGAGATCTAGACAATGACGGACTGTGTGTGGTGAAGGGAGGCAGAGGAGGAGGAGGAGGAGGGGGAGAAGTAAAGACGGCAGAGATAGAAAGGAAGAGGATACAGTGGAAGTGTAGCTAGCCGGAGTCTCATTACTCTCTACTCCTGTGATCTCTCCCCCCGTCAAGGATGCTGAGTAGGGCTTTGTTGAGTCAGAGAGAGACGAGAGAGAAGAGGGTAGAGGAAGGAAATGAATACAAAAAAAAAAAAATCCCCCAAAAAAACAGACAGCAGCAGCAGCAGCAGAGACGCAGTCAAACAAATAATTTACCACCTAGTCCTTTTCTCTTTTTCCGACCCCCCCCTCCTTCCCTCCTCCTGCTTTTCTGGTGGAGAAATTGGAAGATAATCCATCTTTGAAGGATTGGCTTTGAAGGATGAGAGACAGGCCAGTGCCAGAATAGGAGAAGCTAAAATGTTTTGGGCGTTTGATGGCTCAGTAGGAGAAGCCTTCAAAAAGGCGCGACAAGGCAGAGCAGCTGCTTAGCTTTGCTGGTATTTGCAGTATACAGGCTTACATGTGCGCCACAAGGAAAGCGAGCCACATTATGTCAAATCATGTTACGCCTTTTTTGCTTCGTTTGGTTCTGTATGTCAGCACGCGTGTTAATAAAGCTGATTTTTCTTCACCAGCGCAGCGCGGATATAATCGAACGGATCCGGTGTCCTCGGCAGGTTTTCCTGGAACAACACTGTAAAGAGAGACTCCACACACTGGAGCCTTCAAAGCTTACAGTCGTTGGCAGGGGCTGACTCTACTTTCCCAGACAGTTCCAGAGCTCGCCTTTCACTTCAGTTTGTTAGCTGGCGCCGTGGCAGCCCGCTGTTTGGCTCGTTCGCAGCTCGCAAGGGGCCCCCCCGTCCGTCGCTACCTCCACTCCTCTTTACAAATGGCTCCCCTGTCAGCACCTTTTTCTCGATTGAGGTCTCCGATGCCCTCGGCTCGGCTGACAGGAGGCCTTGTTCCTGCTTGTCACGTTGGGTGCCGTGTCAAGGTAGCGGCGTGTCAGTCTCCTCGGCGCGAGATGCCGAGGTTGGAGTCTTCCAGTCCGAGAGGCAAAAGGGAAAATGGCGGGATGATAACAAAGCAGCAGTGTTACAGCTCTGCCACGGCGTCGGACGAGGCATGAATACACTTACTGTCACTTTCCCTTTATGCCTTTTTCAGTCACCTTAGGAAGTTGAAACTGCTATAAAGTGTGTATACAACCACAGCCAGGAAACTCACTTCTAATGACCTCTGTCACAACTGTTCCTGGCCATTTGATTGACAGCTAAAGGGGCACATTAATCAATATGGGATTAATATGGGATCTTGTTCTGTATGAAGGTTTGTGCACGTTCTTTTTTTTTTTTTTTCCTCGCAATAATTTCCTCAAATTAGCCCTGATTGTCACCCTGATTGATGGGTTGATTCATTATGACTAATGAGATGTATAATTTAAAAAGCAGGCACGAAACGTACGGATGAAAAATCTGATATTTTAAAAAGTAAACTTGGAAAGCGCACGTATCCTATCAGGGAAAATCCCCACCATATATATCCACTGCCAATGCTTCATGAATGTTACATGCTCTCTGCTTTCCTCCCTTCAGTATCCCATGAGCGTCCATATTGGCTGGTTGGTAAACATGAAAGTGCAGTGTGCTGTTATCGACATCTTGTTTTATGATTTGGAAGTAATAAATGTAAAGCTTGCTTTCAGACAGCTGCTGCTCGGTACCATTTGGTTGGCTTATTGCAGCATTAAATATTTGTTGAGGAGGTCAACCAAGTTCCCAAAACCCCTCTAAGCTACTTTCCAAGACCGTTTACAGGTCGCGGGGTGATTTGATCAGCGCTACTTTAGCCAATATATGTCAACAGAAGTACTGCGTATAACCAGAACAAGGGTTTTCTTGATGCACCGGGGCAGTCCAGTCAGCACATAATGATGGTCACGATAAAATATAATGGCTGGTTGAGGGAGTCGCTGAATTATTCATTTTGTTCGTATAGATGTACTGGAGATGTTCCAGTCCTACCCTACCATCTTCGACGTACAGATAGATTTGAACCAGAGTGTAAGATGGACTTATCGATTTAGTTGCATTGGTGTTTTTGTAAACTGCAGAAAAGTAAACTCACAGAATTTTGTGAGACTTGTTGCAGTAAATATGTCTGCCAGTGTGTCTACAGACCTGCAAGTAAGTTTTGAAAATTGTCTTTCAAAGTGCCTCATCTATGAACAAGCCAATCAGGGTTGCACCCCGTTGTGATGTCACAGTGGGCAGAGGTGTGGGCGACAGCAGTGAGATTTAAAGCTACAAACACTGACATTTAAATTCCAAAACAGGGCTATAATTGTACAATTCGTGTACATTTTAAAACTCAACACTTACATTGACTTGTTAAAAGAAGGGGTATGACATGGGACCTTTAACCTCTCTAAAACAAGCCACCGGGAACGGCTTCGACTGCTTCAGATCCCATTTTTGCATTACCAACGCCCCAGCATGACTCACCATTCGGCTCAGTGAAACACATTTCAGAATTTAAAAGCCTGAGAAGCAGCTCTCGTGAGGATGATCCCCAGGCCCAAAAGTATGAAGAGCTATTTTCAGCTTTCATTGGAATAAATATGGCACCATGTTACGTCACGTTATTCAGTACTGTAGACCGTGTAGGGCCGTCCTGGAGACTCCAGACAAAAGCCCACGACAGGCAGGGAAAAAGAAAAATCTCACAAATATACTTGGAACACTTTGAAGTTTTGTTTGCCCACTGTTTAAACCTAATGACATGTTGGATAATACTTCTAAATGAAACTACATATTAGTTCTGCTTGGATGCCCTGTAGTAAAGGTACATCTTATTTCATGTGCTGGGGTTGACAATACTGTTGACGCAGCGCTCCCTAAATCCCAGTAAGTGCATAGATGTCAGCTGGAATCCGAGTTATTTCGGTTTAAACTCCAATTAGTTCAACCACCACTGCTGTGGACAGCCAGTCACTGACTCTATTGATGCCTACATACAAGATAAGTTGTCAAAAGGCCGCACACAGGCCACAACAGTTACTCCTCATCTGCCACAGCTCGGGTCATTGAGATATGGCCTGGTCTCCTCTCCTGTGTTGTGTCTGAACAGCATCCTGCCATGTAATGAGCTCAGCGAGGAGTAATATACACAACGTTGCCTGTTCAATAGTATCATGACATCTTTGATTTTCCTCGATTGAGCTTCCATTCGGTAATCGCTTCGGCTTCAGAACACATTCCTCGGGTCTCCTGAGCCTTCTTGGCATGAGTCAATTTCATCTGCCGGCTTCCATCTGCTCACAAGAACTTCCATCATAGCAGGTAGTTAAAGTAGGCTTCCCCTGGGTCTAATTGACCCTCAAACATTACTTTGTAAGACTTCTTGTGAGAGTGTTTGGCTACGACAGTGTAGAGATCTTCCCATGCAGAGCCTATATGAAATCAAAGTATAAAATGCTTCAAGATTTTTTTTTTTCCCTATATTTTGCCACTCTTTTTAAACACACCAAGTTACATTTTCAGTGGGTTTTCATTAATTTTTAGAAGAAAAGAAAATCATTCATTTGAAGAAAATGAAGGAGGACACATTAGTAATTATCATTAGTGTTTGTACACATACAAAACAGGATGAATTGTAATTAACAAAACCTAACAGCTGACAGTGACAAAACACCAAAATCGGAGACAGCAACTTACAACAAGCATAACAATCATTACATATGACAGTGATGTGGACTCACTAGATTCTCAGAATTTAAGAAATATGTGACTTCTTAGCTCTTAATAAGAACTTGAATCAGGCTTCTTTTTTACATTTAAACACAACAGCAAGATAATGTCACTGATTAGTTCCTGCTTTCTACCTGACAGCCTAACTTTTTTCAACTCGAATCAAACTTTTCTTCTTTCCTCTCAGAACCAAACATTCAGTTGTCGGTAAGTTAAAGACTGTTTTGCAGTCTCAGAGCTCAGCGATTCTCATTTTGTTCAGAAATGTCCCTCTGGACTGAAACCTTCCATTTGTTTCTCTAATGAATGCACTTTGTGAACTGAGCTTTTTTTTGTATTTTACGTAGCCAAGGTCACATTTTGTTGCAGTTAACATTCCAACACTATCTACAGCTTCTCTGCATCACATTCACATTCAATTACAGCTCATCCTCTTCGGAGATGTAGGGTGTGACTGTCATAATTACAATATTTACTGAATTTATGCCTTTGTATTCACCTAGTTCCATCACTTTTGATTATGTTAGAAGTCAGATCTGTAATTTACTGCCTGAGGAATGCATGCAGGTATGGGATCAGAGGGTTTAGTGTCACCTTAATTTCATATTTTTTGTAGTCCCACACCAAACTGGTTTTCTCCTGCCTACAGGGGGAGAAAAAAAATGTACAGCATAACCACCTAACAACATTCTTTGGCTTGCTTTTTTAGCAGGTCTGAATGCTGGCTTCTTTCTTCTTTCATTTTTGAACCAAACTGTCTCCCTGGTTGCACAAATGTTCAAACAGTGTCTTCTCCTCTCCATTTAAACCCATATGGGATTAAAGTAAAGGGGATTCTCTCCTCTGACTATTCCTCTAATCTCCTTAACAATGTGTTGCTCCTCTCTTTCTCTGCAGCAGCTGAAATTCCACCAAACTTGATGACTCAACCTCCCAACTGTATCACTGTTTGTAGTATACTTTAGTGTGTGTAGTTTTCACTGCAGCGCTAGCCTGGGATAGGGCATATTTCAAAAACAAGCGAGCAAAAACAGGCCATACATTGCTCTGCAATACAATATAATGTATTTACAAAACACCAAATGTGACCCAATTTAACCTATTGAAGTGCTTTCAAACAGATTGCACTAAACTACATCAACTAGAAGTCCATTCATTCCTAAGGGAACCACATCATTGATGTGTCTGCAAAACTTCACCAGTCATTTCTTTGCAGTCTGGAATTTTCCTCAGGTATTTTGAAAAAAATCAGCGGCTTGACTACATAGACAACCAAAAGAAACTGTCATCCAGATTAATACTTACTAATTGTGGAATGTACAGAGTAGGGGTGGTCTCTATCAAGTTTTTTATGCCCCTAATCTGCTCCGAGTCATTTGATGTTGAGCATCTGCCAGTACCAAGCCCCTCATACAAGCCATTTTCCTACATAATACACACTGCAAAGCATTAGCAAAAAATAAATAATTGCATTTCTGCATCCAACTTGTTCTTTTAAATTATCTAAGAAGTGGTTACCATGGCTCAACAAGCTCCAAAAGACGGCAAAAACCTGTGTTATTTACAGGGATGTCGCCAAAAATGTAGACTAGCTATCGTACCTTGTTGCACAACCAGGTGTAGATTCTTGTTGTTTATTAAAGTGACCAGAGGAGCCGTCACTCAGACTAGGGACAATTGTGGCAAGCAGAGAGCACTGAGCAGGGTTTAGATAGCGATGGGCACCATGACACACACTTCTGTGATACTTGATGCCTTCCAGCCAGAGCTCATGGGTTAAGGGTATTCGGAATGACAGTGTTCTTATATCTTAGTGACACACGTAAAAGAGCAGCCTTTGCAGCCCATTTCATGTGCCTCTCGATTAAAACGACAGCACAAAGAACAAATATCTACTGTGCTATTGACTAATAGTGTTGCCAGTCATTGATTATGGAAATTATTCAATTTGCATTTCAAAACCACTAATTGTCCTCTCCTTTACAACATCTGAGTGACAGTGCATGTACGCAAAGAAATAAAGCTTAGGTTCATGCTCAATAAAGCT